CCTTTGTGTGATCTATTTAGACAACTGTTCCTAAGAAATGTGTTTGAGCTAAGGCAGAGTAGGGCTTTTGTCTTTCCAAACAGGAAATAAAGCAGTTGAAACAGTTTGGTAACATCACTAAGTGCCTTCTCTGTATTCTACAGCTAGTTTGTAAACCAGAGACCACTGCTCATTAGTGCTTTATACCGTGTCTCACGGGTATGTGGGAGCCAGTCTCTGTGAAGACTTATGGAAGAAAAGTTTGCTGCTCTGACCCAACTAGAGAATTAGTTGTTTATCAGTAGTTGTGGCATTGCAAGCTTGTGCAATAGCCTAGCTCTTCACCTAAGAAAATTTCACTTCCCAGCTGCGTCAGCGGGTGGCACAGGAGAAATCAAACACCTCTTGGCTTTGGAGTAGGCAGACCTGTGCATCTATAATGTTCTCAGAGAATGAACATTTCATTCAGAGAATGCCTTTTCCTTTGAATAGTCAATAGTTAACCATCAATTTTATTTAAAAGTGTCATAATGAAGTGCCTCTACAATCAGTATTCAAGCAGTTATGTCTTGCAATGATCCCTTCTCCAAGTTCTGATAAATAACTCTTGCAGGAGGATGGGGAATGGAAAAATCTGCATTTCTGTCACAGCTTTGAGTGGCAAATTTAAGCAATGGGCAGCAGAGGCTGATCGTAGCAAACATAGAAACTTGTGTGTGAGAACCAACTTCCCCATCCCTTCCTATTTCTCATTAAACTGCTAACCCAAGTAGGTGTCCAAGCCTTGTCATGTTCAATGGAACATCTTGTTTCTCCAGTATGTTATTCTTTGAAAGGTTGCTGCCTAGGCCCAAGCCTCACTGAAATACAGCATGCCACAATTAGGACTGCTTGTGAATGCTAATTATTAGTAATAAGCAATTAGTCTATTAAATGCTAAAGAACTGCAGTTCTCAGGCTCTGAAATGCCTGTGGGAAATCAATATTGATAAACACATGGGGGAAAGAACAATACTAGCTCTACAGATAAATGATGGGCTCTGAGTGGTGTGTTGCTACTTAGGAATAAGATCTTGGAGATATAATAGATAGTTGCATTAAAGTGTCAGCTCCGTGCTCAGCAGTGATCAAAGAGCAAACAGTGTCAGGAATTAGGAGGAGAGGAACTGAGAATACCATGAATGCTGCAGTGCACCTCCCTAAATCTGGGTAGGTCTGGTTCCTAGCCCTTCAGAAAGGCTGTGATTGCCCTGGAGAGAGCTCAGAAAAGGACGACCAGGATGATCAAAGGTACTACTGTGTGGTTTCCCAGTGAAGTGTGACCAAAATGCAGGCTGTGCTTCCTCAGGCTGGAAAAGAGATGACTGTTGAGGGTGTAGTATGGTAATACAGGGGTAACCTGGAGCATTAACACAGTACTGTGAAGAATGTGAGTCAGTTGGTCTTTGCATGGTCTTTGCCTTTAGGGGAAGCTTGCAGGTCAGAGCAATCAACAGGAGATGGTTCTTCAGGTGGGGCAAGGCAATGCTTTTCAGTTCCTCACTGCTGAATGGTGGGACAGACAGGTTATTCAGGGGGTGAATGGGAATTTCAAGGGGAGTAAATGTGTTGACAGCTTCTAATGACCAGTACCCCAGTTTTGACTTAGAAGGCTGAGCTGCAGCCTGTTGCAGTGTTTTAGGGAAGTATGTGTACATGCTTTCTCTGCTTACATTTTGGGGTTTCTTTGGGCTTTTTTTTCCCCTGCTAAGGTTCTGCTTCTGAGTGCTGTAAGGGAGTGGATACTAGGCAAATTAGTCTTACCCAGGTTAGCAATTTTACCACTCTCTGTAGGACACACAAGACTTGAGGCCTTAAAAGATATTATATTGTACTATTGCAAATTCTGAATTTCAGGCCTTTCCTTACAGGTTTCCAAATTTTAAAGAGTGGCTTCTGATATTTGGGTTCCTTGGCCAGACAGAGCCCAAGGATGTGGAAGGCAGCAAACATCACTTTGATGTGCAGATAGTCAAAGGAAGTAAGAGATATACGTTGAGTATTGCAGCAAAGCTGAGTGACTGTAAGCTGTGGTTTACACAGACAATTACCATTATAAGCAGGACTTCCCAAGGCATAACAGCTGACAGAAACCTAATTTAAAAGAAAGTTGTACTCAGGTTGCTCAGTATTAATTAACTTTTGTCTCTCAGTTCATTCCATCTGGGCAATCTTATCTCAGATACTTCAGTTGTTCTTCAGGCACTAAATAACTCAATTTCTCCTATCTTTTTTTTAAATCAAGCACCTTTTTAGAGACAGCATTCAGTTTTGCAGCCACCGTAATGAAATTAATTCTCTTGTGACCCTTTCTTCTAGTGGCTTGTTGGCAATTTTGTACCTAATTTGTTTTACCAGATTGATGTGCAAAAACATCTAGTTGCTATTTTCTATCAATATTCTTGGCTTGGAAAAATCCATGTTAAAACACATGTTCATAATGCACTTTGACTGGAATCTTTAATAAATGTGTGAGAGAGAGCCTACAGTGAAACACCGTGCTGTTTGGTGCATAAAGCTATCAAGGAGAGAAATGCCACTTTGGAGATCTTCTGTGGGCAGTGTGCAAGAGCATTTGCAGCATGTGCCTTGCTCTGCTGTGCTTATAGGGCTGGGTCATAGGAGCATCTTGCTTCAGGCACCTGCAGTAGCAGCTGAAGCTGTCTCTGGTAACAGAACAGAGGTAACTGGAGAATGCAGACCAGGGCTAGACACTCATTTAAATGCTCTAGATTGCTCTTTAAAGGTGCCATTCCCACTCATTACTTAGGGACCCTTAAGAGACAGCTCCTAATCCAGGCACTTTGGGTAGATACTAGGAGTCCTCTCCTATGTAAACTTCTAATATGGAGCATCTACTTTTCTATTTAAAAAAGCACAAAACCAGTCAGTATCCCCTCTCCTACAGTGGCCCAGTGGCACTGAACTGTCGAGAGAAGGAAGAGCATTTCCCATCCACAAACAGGCAGCACTCCCAATTAGAGAGGCCCAGAGAGTGGTGGTGAATGGAGTCCAATCCAGATGGTGACCAGTCACAAGTGGTGTCTGGATCAGTGGTCTGAGGCCAGTGGTCTGAGATTCAACAAGGTCAAGTGCTGGGTCCTGCACTTGGGTCACAAGAACCCCCTGGACCACTACAGGCTGAGGGTAGAGGGACTGTAAATCTGTCTGGGGGAAAGGCCCTAGAGATGCTGGTTGACAGTGGCTGAACATGAGCCAGTGTATGCCCAGGTGGGCAAGAAGGCCAATGGCATCCTGGCCATTGTCAGAAATAGTGTGGCCAGCAGGACTAGGGCAGTGATCATCCCCTGTACTGGTGAGGCAGCTCAAATCCTGGGTTCAGGTTTGGGTCCCACATGACAAGAAAGACATTGAGGTGCTGGAGCATGTCCAGAGAAGGGCAATGGAACTGTGCAAGGATCTGGAGCACAAGTCCTATGAGGTGTGACTGAGGAAACTGGAGTTGATTAATCTTGAGAAAAGAAAGCTCAAGGTGGTTGTAGCAAGGTGAGGGTCAGCCTGTTCTCCCAGGTCACAAGTGACAGGACAAGAGAAAATGGCCTCAAGTTGTACCAGCGGAGGTTTAAATCAGATATGAGGAAACATTTCTTTACTGAAAGGGTTGTCCAACATTGGCACAGGCTGCCCAGGGGAGCAGTTGAGTCACCATCTCTGGAGGTATTTAGAAGACATCTAATTGTGGCACTTATGGACAGCATTTAGTGGTGGACTTGTCAGTACCAGATTAGCAGTTGGACTAAATCATCTTAAAGATCTTTTCCAACCAAAATGATTCTAACAGAGTTTGTAAAAGAGACTATTCAGGTTCCAGTATCTGGAACTTTCTATTGAGTTTTAATCTTTGTCAAATTAAAGCATCCTATTTTTATTACTCTTGTGTGCTTGACTGAAAAACCTTTATAAGAACATTAAGACTGCAAAAGCAAGCACTTGAAACTGAACATTTCCTACCATGTGAGCTGTCTGTAGAGGTTGGCTCTATCTTTTGTGTTGTCTGTGTGGGTAGCATGGCACAGCCTTACACACCCATGGTTAAAAAATCAGACTCATCTCCACTTGCAGTGTGATTTGAGTCACAACTTCTAAAAGAGTGGGAGATATCATTGGCAGCCTCGTATTCTTAGATAGTTGCTGATAGTAGAGATGATCTTCAGTGGGGTGTTTGGCAGGATAACATGTGTAAATGGCTGTGCAGCCTCTCCACCCAGCTCCAGCTTTCTTCGGCTTCTGTTGTCCTCCAACATGACTTTCAACTGTTTTGGAAAACCTCACCCACAGCTTTGTGTTTGTTGGCAAGGTATTTTCACCACTGTATTGTGTATTGTCATTCTGCTTTCATATGAGGACATCTGAGGTGGGAAGGAAAGTCATTTTCCAATATGTTTTTTTAAAAAAAAAGCCTTTGAGAAGCCATACAACTTAATCTAACATGAAGATGGGACTGTCTACACAGAAATATGTTGTTGTTTCCCCACAGCTGTACCAGCTGGTGTAGTAAAGGAAGTGGCTTATATTTATAAGCTTGTTGCAGTAATTTAACTGTGTCCTTGATTTAATGCTTCTTAAATATTGGTCATTTTTTATAGCAGAGATCCATTGATACCTAGGGACCGAAAGCTTTTTCATTTCAGTTGAAATAGGATTTTACTAATCTAATACAGATAAAACAGAATTAGGTGTAATTAAAGCAAGTTTTAATACTTTAGGGCTTATTTTTCCTACAGTTTGATGATTAACAAAAAAAATGAAAATAGTTTTTCACTTCTTTTTCTTTACACACATGTAAATACATTTTCAGATTTATTTTTTTAAAGCAATCCACTAGTCATGAAATAGTAACTGAAAAAAACCCTTCAGTTTGTTTTCTTCTGAGCACTAATGTTGACCTTTACATGCCTTCACTTGTGTTCTTTTTTCCTCCCATATTTTTTTTACTAGCTTACCAGGAGTGAGAAAAGACAATGGATCCAGACTTTTTAAATGCATTTGCACAGCCTCCTACTCTTGTGACTGAGAATGTCATTGCGCAAGGTATGTACCTTATGAACCAGGGCAGGAAAAAGTTCAAAGAATCACCTAAGAACCAAACAGAAAATGTGCAGTACAAATGAATTGTATATTTTTCAGCAGTGACCTCATGGTTTTGTCAGCAGTGAGTAAGCTCTGTGTGTGTAATTTGGCTGCTGAGTCTTTGGAGGCAGATCATGAAGAAGCAACACGAATTCTAGCTGGTTCTTTCACTGAAATTTAAATTCCACACGTAAGGATCTGACCAACTTTGTTTTCCTCTTTCCAGAATTTTCCATCTAGATCTTACTGATTTGAATTATATTGAAGTATACTTTCCAACAGCACTCTTGAAAGTATGATATACCATTTTCTTGTTCACAAGGAATCAAAATTAAAAAGGACAGTGTTTCTACATACCACAATCAGCAACACTGGGAATATCAAACTGATAGCAGATTTTGCCACGAACTTGCATTAGTCATATCCGATAATTGTCATGGATCTTGTTTGCTTCCTTCCATAGGTGAGAAGAGGAAACTCATAAAACCAACCTCAAGGAACAATCCCAAATTGGAAGAATTAAAACAGGTACCACTTCTTTTACTATACCATTTAACCCTCACCTCAGGTTGTTTTAACCTGTTGTGTTAAAGGAACCAAAGAACCTGGTTCTTTAGCCTGTTGTGTTCAGCCCTGTAAATCACTGAAATCTTTGAATCCAGTCACTCACTCTCTATAAATGAGAATGAGCTCTGCTTTTGGCATTTGGGCTCCACACAAGTAAACCAGATCTTCTGCTTAAGCACAATGCCAGGATGGCTGGGGCCATACAGGACCAAGCTTCAAATCCTTGCAGTGGTCACTGCTGGGTGTAAAGTGGAGTGCAGATTCAAAAACTGAGTTGTTTCTTATATGATACCTCTTGTAACCTGGGACATGTGGGTGAGCCACACCAGAAGTACCCAGTTGCCACTTCATTGTAATGATAGTGTGATAGCAGTGAGAATCCAGCTGAAACAGCAGATTGTGACCACAAGCAGACCCATGTCAGCATTTGCTGTGACTAGAGATGTTCAGATACATGCAAGTTTGCTGCACTAATTCCATGACAACAAGTTTTAGGAATGCTGTACTGATCTGCAGCAGACTTCTACCTCCCCTGGCAGCTGCATTGGCTGTGATGCAGCCTGACAAGGAGCAGGGGGAGAAGGGATGAAGGGTATGCAAGTCACCAAGAATTCAGGATAAAAGCTTTCAAGTTGTTGTATGGTGCATTGCCTGCTTGAGGTAACTGTGAAGGATGAATCCTATTTCATGGGAAATTCCTTTATTTCCAAGTGTTTCCCCAGTGCATTCAATCACCATGTTTCCCTAATGGCACAGCCCAGGGAAAGGCTCACATACTGAAATTTCCTGGAAGAAAAGTGGCATATCTCTTGTGAGACCAGCACTTCTTGCATTATGGGGATGCTAAAATTGTTATAAATATTATGAAAAGCAGCTTAAGCTATGTGTTGATGTGTGTATTATACAGCACTTATAAATCCAGAGATAGGTGCATTTCTATATTACGTTTTTGTGCACATTTGATCAAAGAGATTTGATTTTCATGTCAGGCTTTCACAATGTTTTTATACAAAGGAGAAAATCTGAAAGGTGGTGCTGCAAAATGCAATTATGTTGTCTACAGAAACACTGAATTTGTTCTTTCCAGATTGCCAAAAATGAAGAGTTTTCCTCAGTTTATGAAGAGTTCTGTGAGCTTCAGTGTTTAATCCATTTTCTATCATATTCCTGAAACAATGTTCTTCACTGTCTAATTTCTTATCTTTGTATGATGAGGAGGTGGAAGTTAAGTCCTGAGAGAGGCAAAGTCCTCTGGGTGCCCATTGGTGCCACTGATTACCTTCTTAATCTAAAGGTTTGAAGGCTCCTCTAGAGAAGTAATTGGGATGGAGCCAGGGACAGGGAGGTATCTTCAAGGGAAGAATAAATGTAGCAAAGAAACTCACATGGGAGAAAGACTGTTTGACTGCATTTTCATTTTGAGGTGGCTTTGGAGAACTAAGGAATGTGAAATGGCTCACTGTAGTTACTATAAATATCAAGTTGCATGTAAAATAGAAGATGGTTACGTTTGGAAGCCAGCAGCAAACTTGTTGACGCACTCCATTTCTCCTTTGCCTATTTACTCATTTTCAGACACAAGGCTGTGCTCTACAGCTGAGTGGGGATCCAGCATCTGGACAGAAAGCAGAGTTGTGTGAGCTGCAGGCTGTGGATGTAGCTGTTTCAAGCTGAGATAGCAAATGAGGGATGTCATAGGTCTGTACTCAGCAGTACTTACTGATTTTCTGACTTCCCTCTGGTTGTACTGTTATGTTTAGGGTACCACTCTACCCCTTACACATCTAAAGTATCATCAGGTCTTAACCTGCAAGCATTAGCTAAGGAGCTCTAGAAGACTCTTGTTGCTTCTTAGCAGAGAAAGTATTACACTTCGACAGCTTCTCAGTTCAAGCATTTTTGTTTCCTGTGCAGTTTCAAGCATTTCAGAGATTTATTTTTTTTTCAGACCTTTTTTACATTTTAGTTAACATTGGCTAACTTACAGGGATCTGCTATGAATTTTCTCCTCTGTTTACAGCAAGTGAGAAAGAGATTATCCATATGACAAACTCCACTCACTTGTAGCAATCATAATGATACAAGCAATACCCATCCCTCTTTCAAGAGAGATGCTCATGTTAGCAGCCAGCTGGGGCTACTGCTTTTCAGGTCTGCTTCACCAGGTCTTCTTCCCTTTCTGTCAACATATGTTGGATAAAACACAGGCCAGGAGAAGTGCTGAGGAGCTGTTTTGTTATCCTGTGTAGAAGCACATGTGATTCCTTTTCAGTTGTAGCCAGCCCTTGGCTTCCTAAGTAGCTTCCCCTTGCAAAGGAAGGAAGGATATTGGAAAGGCCAGTGGGAGGACTGCCACGTAAGAAAGCCCCAAAAAGGTATTTGGTGAGTGATTAGTACAACATTGCAGAAAGAGAAAGAAAACAAAAATAGGAGAGGAAAGGAAGTAGTGCTAATAACATGGATGAGTACAAGAAACAACCCACAGAATGACTGAAGACTTTTTCCTTACAAACTTTGCCTGCCAGTCAGATTTGTGTGAATTCTGTGATACCTGATGAAGGCAGAGAATGGGAAGTGTACTGTGCAGCCTCTTCCCTGATGGAAGTGGGAACATGGTCTGCCTCCCATTTCTATAAAATTCATAAGAGGAAGTGTCTTGTTGTGTTTCACCTGAGTGCTATACTGTCTAAATAATTGTCAGCTGCTTTGTTTTCTTCTACAGTTATTAATTGACTGGATTAACAGGACACTGCAAGAAGAGCACATAGTAGTTAAAAGTCTGGAAGAAGACCTGTATGATGGGCTGGTACTTCATCACCTCTTGGGTAAGCTGCTCCTTTGAGTTTAGTTTGCAGACACATCATGGAGGAAGTTCCAGGTCAGAGAATAAACCTCACAAATGGCCATAGCAGTGATCTGACAGAGTCTCACTGCTTGCTAACAGAGAAAGCACTGCACTGGGAAACATCTCTGATAATTGCAGTTCTGAACAAGAGACTAATGATCCACTATGGTTTTTCATAATTGTTTTACTTCTAAGAAAGTCTTTTTACCTGCTAGTTGACATAATGAAAAGGTTAACTTTGAAGTGTAAAATTCAGTGCCTCTGAAAGGAAGGAAGGGTTCATAAGCCAAAAGCACAAAGGTGCCTTGTGATGCTACCAGAAACACTGGATGGAATTAGCACTATATGTTTTCCTGCTTTAGAAAAATAAAAAGTTCTAAGCCTAAAGAACTGGTCTGGAACTGAAGCTGATGAAAATCTAGTGCCTTTTGGCACTATGAGATGTTTGTTTAAAGATGTCACCTGAGCACGTGGAGCAACCTGTTGATCTATTTCTCCATCTCTCCTATCCCTACTACGTTTTTGCTTCCCATTTCACTCTCTTTGGGGATGCCTTTCAAATCATATCTCCTTTCCACCAAGGCTGATGGCAGCAGTGTGAACAGCAGCAGATTGGCTTATGTTCATAGTTACTTGCCTGAGCAATGAGCTGAGATTTCTTCTATATATGAGTTGATATGGATTTTGGACACTCTACAGGAAAGATTCACTCATTGTGTTTCTGTAGCATGTGCTAGGAAAAGGAGGAACATAGAGTGCTAGAGTTGGGGGATGATGCTGTAAGGAATGACTTGAGTCCTCTCTCTCTTGCAGAGCTTCCCTGATTTTACTGAGGCTTTCAGAGAGCACAGGAGTTTAACAAGACTTACAGCTGGGGGATGTGGGTTTGTGGAAGCTATTAAGTGGTACCAAACATTTAAAACAAGACTTTGTGTGCTTTACTGGCATTTTATGTTTCTCATTTATTTTTTTCCCTATGGTGGTGTTAAAATACATCCTATTCCTTCCCATGGGCTCTCTGTCAAAGAAAACCTCGGATCTCTCAAGCTGGATGTTGACAAGATTGCACTAACAGAAAAAAAACAGCGACAGAAACTCTCTGTGATTCTGGAAGCTGTGGCCAAGTGTTTGCAACTGGAAGAAAGTCAGCTGAAATGGAGTGTGGAATGTAGGTGCAGAAGTGAAATTGGAGAAAATTATCCATCACGGGGCTTCCTCTGCTATAAGGCTGCTGTGAGGCAGAGGGCTGCCAGAACAGTAATTAAACCACCTGTTTTCAATTATTAGTTGAACCAAAAGTGAGACAGGAATATCTGACCCTGACTGGGTTTGCTCCTCTAAGTGTGTGGCTTGTGGATCACTGAACAGCCCCCAATGTCCATGTGTATGTCTCACGAAAAGGACTTTTAAGCTGTGTTATTGCTAAATTGTGGGATTCTATAAACCCCAGTCTGATGTCCCACCTGTTTTATGGCCCTCCATGGCTTTGGAATTCTCTGCACAGGGAGAATTCATGATGTTGGAGTGACGTTTGCTTCTTTTTCACACTAAACATTGTTTTCTTTCTTTACATGGAATAGCTATCTTGGCCAAGGACTTACTGAGCACACTGCATCTTCTGGTTGCTATTGCAAAGCACTTTGCACCCCACCTGGCCCTGCCTCCAAATGTTCAAGTGGAAACGATCATCATTGAGGTATTTATAGTTTCAGTATTTGTTACAGTAGGGCCTAGAGTCCTTTCATAAGGCTAACTTGCTCAGAATTAGGGAGAAATATGTGTGCAGCTGTGAAAGAGATACTTCTATATCCTGTGAACCATGCCTTTTAATTTCTGAGTTTGCTGGACTAGATTTAGGTTTCAGTTCTGATGCTCTGTCTTAAAAAGGAGAGAAACACTATGCTGTTTTTCTTCCGTGATCAAAAAAAGAGGAATGGTCCAAACTGAAAACAGCTTTTGATCTCTGTAAAGAAGAAAAAGAAGAAATTCTGCTGTTACTATCTCTAAATGTTATAAAATAGAAACCTGTACTCATAAATCATGACACTGGTGTAATGCTGAGGATTTTTTTCTTTAGGAGAAGAGAGTTTTTATTCCCCTTCCACTGGGGTCATATTTTGGTGTTTTTTCTCTACAAACAGAGATCTACAAGCTTTCTCCCTCTATTTTATTTCTTAAAGTCAGTTCTGGGATTGTAGAATGATATCAAATATCCTACAATTTGAGACATAATTGCAAAAATTAGCACCACTGTGTCACAGTTTAAACAGAGGGTTTGCAATACAGTGGCTCTGGGAGCTCAGCACAGTCTGTATGGCATGACCTAGTGCTGTTCCCCCTTTGGAGGATCACAAAGTGGGGAGGTCCAGGGAGGTTGTGGATGCCCCAACCCTGGCAGTGTTCAAAGCCAGGCTGGATAAAGCCTTGAGCAACCTGCTCTGGTGGGAGGTGTCTCTGGCCATGGTAGGGGAAATTGGGACTAGATGATCTTTAAGGTCCATTCCAACTCCTTAGCATTCTGTGCTTCTATGATCATAACTGGAGCTGAAACAAAGCATGCCCTTGAGCTATGTGTGTCACTTTTGGAGGTTTAGAAGTGTTCTGGAGGTACATTTCAGCTGTGCAGAAATTGGGAAGGGTTATCTGTGAAACCACAGCACTGTAAAGGGTCATTAACCCTGAGAGAGAGAGGAAAGGCAGGGGACGCAGTAGGATTGGGGTAATGAGCTAATTCCCTGCAGAAGAAATCAATGCCCCTGATGGGGGAACAGGAGTCATTAGGGCAAAAGTGAGGAAAAACCATGAAGGTACAGCTCGGAATAGGGACTGAGGGCAGGAAGGAAACAAGGGACCCTGGAGAGAGCCTGGCCTTTCTGTGACAGGTGCCTGCAGGAAGGACCTGCCTTTGCCCCATGGGAATGGGTGCACTTGTTGCAGATGTCGCTGTGAATGTAGAGATGGTCAAGACACAGGATCTGTGACAATAGCAAAACTTTATTTCTAATTCCCCCACCATCTGTACAGTGCTTCTTTTATACCATTTTTCACACACTGTGCACACACTGTGTTAATTATTTATTGGTCAGTGATGTGGTAATGCTTAATTTATTGGTTAACAGTTGTTTATATATGCTCTTATTAACTATCCCAAAATATTCTCTTCCCAAAACAGCTCATTCTACAGTTTCAAGGGCCTGATCACAGGTCATAATTTCAGGGACTGGTTTCTGTTTTTGAGGATTGAATCTTAGATGACAATTAGCTTTAATATGCCCTGGTTGTCCACAGCTGTGACAATAGTGAGACAATTTTACTGCATTAGTAAATGAGTCAGCCAGCATGGTCATTTGATAAGAAGTAGTTCCAACTTTTGCACAATCATCTATCATCTCTTCCAAAGATGGATTATGGCTTGGCAGGAAATCAATAATTTTCCTGCAATCCTCATTTGGGCTTCCTGTGCTAATTGCAAAAGTAACTGATTTTTTGCATCATGATCTGCAATTTGTTTTTCCATTGCATCTGTTAACCTTTTGCTAAAAGTCAGGTATGGTTCTTGAGGACCTTGCTTTATTGTAGAATACCTTTGGGTTGGCACTGACATGTTGGCCACTTTCAGCAGAGCCTGCAGCCCAGTATCTCTTGCCTTTGCCAATACTAAAGGGTGTAATTGCTCCCCGTTAGCAGCTGCTATTTCATCTGTTTCCAAAATTCAACGGGGTCATACGTTGATACGGTAACTGACATCAGGTTTACAGTGAAAACATTCTCCGGTGAATTAATGGAAGAGCAATAGTTAGAGTCCCTCCTATTTGCATTTTTAGAGTCTGTGTGCTGAGGAAAATCTCCAGGCTGTCTGAGCTTCCCCAGAGGAACAGACAGATTAAGCAAAGGCTCGGCGGGCAGTGCCTCACCCTGCAGCCCCCTCAGATTCCTTAAAGTTGGATGGTGTTTCTGCTGCCCATTCCATATCTCTTTCTGCCTTTTGTAGTTTAAGCATATCTCTCACCACCCTCCAGGTCATTACTAAATCTCTAGAGATCTCATTCCCTTGAGCCACCGACTCAGAAATCATAGCACTGATTCCTTCCCAGAAGTTAACACTGAATGCATTCTCAGTAGTGGCTTCTATCCCTTGGCCTTTACACCATAACAACAGGGCTCGTAGTGTCCGTTTGTCGTATCTTACTCCTCGCTTGCCTAACATGAGGGTCCATATATTAATTATGGATTGTTCCTCAATGGATGCCCTGGCTCCCATTATTGTTCCCAGCAGCTCACCTGTCTTCCCCAGGTATCTTCTATAAATTCAGTCCAGACCTATACAGCTCTCCACGCTGTTTTCACTCCGCTGGGCTCCATCTCCACTGCTCTCCCCTCAGCCCAACTGCCACCACATCACATCTGATCCCAGATCACATCAGTGCACACCAAGGTCACCACTTGTTGCAGACGTTGCTGTGAATGCAGAGATGGTCAAGACACAGGATCTGTGACAATAGCAAAACTTTATTTCTAATTCCCCCACCATCTGTACAGTGCTTCTTTTATACCATTTTTCACACACTGTGCACACACTGTGTTAATTATCTATTGGTCAGCGATGTGGTAATGCTTAATTTATTGGTTAACAGTTGTTTATATGTGCCCTTATTAACTATCCCAAAACATTCTCTTCTTATCGACATCTTCTTCATTTCTTCCAAGATGTTTTCCTTGTTATTCTCACAGATACAAGCTAATCATTCTCCTTTTATAGTCCTTTCTCAAAACAAGTTTTTACCTCATTAGTCTCACAGATACAGACTTATCTCATCAAGGTCAATGTTGTTCTCATTCGTGAGGCCTTCAGTCCAGCTCTCAGCCCTCACGTGCACTGCTCTTCAGCAGTGAGTTGACTCAAAGGAGTTGACTCAGTATGTAAACAGAGAATGTTTTTCACTGCCTGAAAGGAAAGAGCAGCAAACACCAAGCAAGGACTTTTCTGTGGTGTTTTCCAGATACCTGAATAAAGCAGCAGGCACAACCATCCTCTCCTGTCAGTCGGGTGAAGCACGGGGTTTGTTTTTTTTGATGCTATGTAGATTCTCAGAACTATATCGAGGAAAAGCTGTAAAGAGGAAGAAAGTAACTTCCAGTAAGATATGTGAGGAGCAGCTGAGGATGCTGGAGGTGTTTAGTCTGGAGAAAAGGAGGTTCAGGGGAGACCTTATTGCTGTCTATAATTACCTGAAAGGAGGTTGTAGCAAAGTGAGGTCAGTCTGTTCTCCTAGGTAACAGGATAAGAGGAAATGGCCTCAAGCTGTGCCAGGGTAGTCTTAGATTGGCTATTAGGAAACATTTCTTCACAGAAAGGGCAGCCAAGCGTTGGAATAGGCCACCCAGGGCAGAGGTTGAGTCACCATCCCTGGAGGGATTTAAAAGTCGTGTAGATGTGCTGCTTAGGGACATGTTTTAGTGATGGCCTTGGCAGTGCTGGGGGAATAGTTGGACTTTTCCAACCTAAGCAATTCTGTGTTTCTATGACTCTGTGCACATGCCAACCTCTAAACTTCTCCAGCTGAGGGACCACAGGCTGCTCTTCTTTCTCTGAGGGAGAAATAAGTAACTCAAAGTATTTGTATTAATTATACTGGACTTAGTGATTAAATGCTCTCTGCTAATAATTTAAGGTTAAGAAAGCCTCATTCTTGCTTATTAATTTTTTGTGTCTGTGATAAACCCAAAATTTTTATTTTCCTTTCAACAGAACACCTCCAGAGGATTAAAGACAGCAAATGCAATGGAATATATAACAGAAAACAAGTAAGAGGGGATATATCTGGTTTTTATGCTGTCAGTCAGAAGTGTTGTGGGTTTGTTCCCCCTTAGAAAAATAGCTGGGATCATGATGATGCCAAAAGGTGTCAACCCAGGCATGCATGTCCATGTGAGATGTTTCTCATATTTCTTTCCTTTTGGTTTTTTTTTTCCCCTCTTCAGATTTGGTATTTTGGTGTAATACCTTTCTTTGATATTTATATAAACTTCTCTAAAATAATATGTGTGATTATTTCTGAGGCTTAGTGTTTGTCATTGCCATGGTATATCATAGCAAATATAGTAATATAATTCCAGTACTGTAAATTTCCCTGTGCCAGACTAAACTGGAAATTTTCTAAAGCCACAAAGTTTTAAATCTACTTTTAATTTGTTGTTGTTGTGTCATTAAATAAAGAGACAGAAGGCACCTCTTTTCTTATTTTACTGTGAAAGGTTTGAGCTTACTCAGTTTGTGAGGTATTGTCATTATTAAAGGAGTTAAGTAGTAAGATACCATTTATATACTGAGAAAATATGGGTATATTTCCAAGAACAACAAACAGATTTTCCTATAATAATTTTTAGATGCTAGAACATCTTCAAACTCTAATATCATGAGCATCTTACAGGAAGAGGATATCAAGGATTGTGCTTATAAACTAAAGGTTCATTGGTCTGTGGGCCAGTTAAATTCTCATATGCTTCCAAGAGCCCATACAGATATACAGTTAACTTAAAAATGTCTGTTGCAAAGTCACTCTGACATAAAGTTAATGGCACTTTGAACTCTTATCTCCTGCTTCACAAGATAGCAGATAAGCTTTGCTTATGAATAAGATTAGTTCTGCTGAATGATTTTTCTAATTCTTGGTTTTTTTATTGCACTTTTAGAGACAATATAGAAGCACAGTCAAGTAAGTACTGGCATTGCCAAGCTCAGCATTTCATTATTATGTGCTATTATGCACCACATCCTGTTCCATTTTTACTTCACAATAAAATCAGTATGCTCCCACTAAAGTTAATGGAGATTCATGGAATTGTCCTAGTGTTTTCCTCCAAATATCTTCTGTTAATGTTTGTTCATAGCAACACAATATAGTTTGGAAATTGGATGGTTACTTTGCCCATGGACTACAGGCAACAGATGGGAGGTGAGACAAGAGATGAACAGTGGGTTGATGACCCAACAGAAATAGACCTGTCTGAGGACAAAGTATGTCTTGGATTTATGCATGGTCCTCATTTATTGTTGGAACTATTTATGATCATAAAGGCTTCAGAACTGTACTTCTCATTGCTACCAGTTTCAATATACTTTCCTTTCTGCAGTTTGCAAATGAGGTTCTGAAATCTGCTGGTACTGAGTTATGGATGGCAGCTCAGTGAAACCAATTTCCCCAGAGGTTTTACCCTTAGAGGTTTTGGGGGCTGTGAAACACTTGAGGTGGAAAACATCCACATGCTCAGAGCCTGCAGAAGGTCTGGGTACTGCTCAGGCTTCAGGGTGAGCTGTTCTTCCTTGCTGTGGAGGAGCATGTTACGTTCCCAGTGAACCAAGGCAACTTTTAATTCTCTGCTGTGCCCTTTATGTTAATGTTTTCATCCTTTGCAGAGGTGCAAACTATTGTTTAATATGCATTTTTCACTTATTCCACTGAGTGTTCTCTGGTGTGAGCTGAAATTGTGGGAAAAACCCAAACCCACCTGTAATTAGGTGTTTCTTTCAGTGGAGTGATTCTGCTGTGTAGAGAACTCTGCAATTCAGTCTTCAAAATTCTCTCTCTGTTTTTGACACAGCTTGCTTAACAAAGAGAGAAATCCCAAAGCATGGCTCCAGGAGAGGGCTCCCTACTTTGCACCACGGTTGCAGGTTTCAGACAGTTGCTTAGAGATTTGTTTGATGGATTGACCTTTTCCCTGACATTGATCCTGCAGCAACCCCCAAACAGGGAGAACAAACTCGAGGAGAGCCTTTCACTAAGGAGGCTTCACTGTCGCTGTCTTTTGGGAGGAATCTTCCTTAAGCAAAACTGCCTTTGCTTCCCAGCACTGTAGGAACTGGTTCTCAATTTAATTGTGCTGCCAGAGTGCTCTTCATTTTTAAGGGTGTTTCAAATGCCTTGTTCATGCTTGAACCAGAGCACTGTTCTGGCCAGGTGAAGAGATGGATCCTGCTCTTGCTAAACCTGAGCAGGAAATGGAGGTGAGGCTGGACATTCACAGGGACTTGGATGAATCTCTTTTTCTTGGAAATCTTCAGACTCACACCAGTTCTCCAGCACAGTGCTGCTGGCACCAGCTCAGTGCCTGCCTTTAAACTGGATGGCAGCACTGGTCGTTTTTGAGGTCCCTGAATTTTCAGAGGAAGAGCAGTGTCTCCAAACTTGCTTGTGTTTTTTTTGAAGGAAGGGAGCTGTTTCTTCTGCAAATTTGATATAACAGACATTTCTGTTGGGGGAAAAGCAGTAAAATATATAACTCTTCTTCCAGTATTTTATCCCAGAGGTTCAGGGTTTAAAAAACATAACTGAAAAGATAAACTGTAGAGATGTGAAACTTGGGCATTACTCAGACTGGTGGCAACACAAATCTTGAGAAACTCTGCAGGTGAAAATTACAGATCTGAATGAAGTAAATTGTGTTCTCTGATGCAGTCAGGCTGAAGGGAAGCCTGTCACTCTGTCCTCTGATAAATACAAAAGCAGGATCTCTTTGCATCTCCTGGCTCTTTTCCTCCTTGGCTTATAAGCTGCAAATACCTTTCTCCTTCTGGAACCACATTAAACCTCTGATCTGACAGTTATTCAAAATAAAACCAATTAATGTTGTTTTGATACAGAAGATGATGCCTTTGATGAATTATTTAGCCGTGCTCCAGATAAACTGGATGCTGTAAAAAAGGTAATTTACTTTTTTAGTAGACATCAAAATCTGTAAGGCAAAAACATAAAAAATAAATCTCCACTGAAACAGTTATTTTTTTCTTTCCCCCTTTTCTCCCCTTCTGTTTTCTTTAGGTGTTTTTGCAATTTGTCAACGAGCATGTTGGAAAATTAGGATTAAATGTCAACGACATCAAATCTCAGGTAGTGTGCTCTAAGTTGCATGTTAACCATGTTTTGTCAGTCACTGAAGTGTTTCCTCTCACCATTAGGAATCCTCCTTTTTGTTGCAGGAATTTGAAATTTGGCAACATAACAATGATATCCAGGTTTAGGTTAAGATATCAGGCTTCAGTCTCTGAAGTCTCTGAAGCTAATAAGTAATGAAAAACTACAACTTTGTATTGAATGCTGCCCTTGTAATGCTACAGGGAATAGTTTTTGGAGTCTGCCTAGCTCCTAAGGATGCTCTTTCTGTTGGGATGGAATTAAAGGTATTCTGATGATTAAACTGAAAGCCAAGTTTGATTGCTGGATATGCTTCACAGTATGAAGGCCTGATTTTCATTGCATTTCAAAGTCCCATCCTCTGAGTATTGAGCTTCTTTAGAGTTCATGAAATTTCAAGTGAAGTGCTTGTTAGGCACCCTCGGATCACTTCCCTGGGCACTGGTGAAGAGAGGCACAGCCACACCTCTGCTGTCCACCTCCACTGCTGCTGCCTCTGGGGAGGGTGGATGGGGTTTGTGCAGAGCTGGGGACCCACAGCATCCTCTCTGTGCCTCTCCAGGGAGTGAGCAAGTGATGGGAAATGAGCCAGGGGATGTCCCTCGTGGCTTTTTCATTCCCTGCTTCTGCATACATACAGGCAGAAATCAGCCCACAGCCCTTGCTTTGCTCCAAGTCTCAGTGCAGTTGCAGTCCCTGTGATTTATGCCATGTGGATGAAAAGCAGAGCTGTGCTCCTGTGTTCTTCTGGGTTTTCTTGGTGTGCAACTGTGAGAAAGGAAGTTTTTCAAGTGTTTTGTCATCCATCTCAGTCACCAGGAACAATTTTCTTTTATTTATAGCTACACATTTGTCGCTTTTGTTCATCAGAAGTCACTTTACATCAGGAATAGTTTGTTTTAATAGCTGTCCTTTTACAAGGTCATATTTTCTCTAATAAGAATTTAGGAGCCTTATGTAACCAAATACAAAGTTCACTGTGGAAGAGGTTGAGGGAGCTGAGTCATTAGACTGTCTCCTTGCCAGAGTAACATTTAAATTCCTTTATTGCTAGAATGGCATTTATTGGAATAATTTACTAAAGCCAAATAATTTTCAGATCGTTCTTCATCTAGTTTTCAGATGGAGTTATCTTACTACTCTTAATTGGACAACTGGAGGGTTACTTTCTGCATTTGAGGAATTTCTTCCTGACGCCAGCCAGCACCACGGAGATGGTAGGTTGTTATGTAATTATTTAGAGGTTGAGATATCAAACTTCTTTTGTGTTTAATGCTTCTCTATGTCTGAACAGCTCTGCCTCTTGCTTCAACTGCTGCTGCTGCAGGTGAATCCATACACCTGCAGTGTTTACAGGATGGGGGTTTGGGACAGTATAAATGCATGTGCTTGTTGCTGTTAAAATACCTTGGAACAGGTTGGTGTCTTCTTCAAAATTAGTTATGATCTCATAAGAAGCAAACAACTCTTACTTGCATTTGTTTGGCACATATTTGCTTCTTAAACCTTCTGATGAAATCCAAAGGGTCTGTGTGGTGGGGAATCAATAGACTATCTCCTACAGGTCTGTCCTGCCAACAACATTTTGAAGTGGATGACATCTCTTGCATAGCAGAACTGAATCCCTATGGATTTCATTATTCTGTCCTAAAAATATGAGCCTTAAGACATGATCAGAACATTTTGAAGGCCCCTTCTGTGTTTGGGAAGCTCTTGTGAATTTGCATCCTTTTCTCCTCTAAGGCTGGGAGCTGTAACCTACCCAGCCAGACCTGTTTGAGACCTTTTTCAACCTCTGCCAGGCAGATTTCCTCTGTGCTTTAAAAGTTAAAGGTGGCATCAGGCAGAAGGTAGAGTTTTCTGGGCTGCCAATGTAAATGCCTCCTCCACAGGTCTAGAATGTTGATATATTTTGAGATATTTGAGATATTTTCAGATTGTCTCTGGTGTGGATAGAGGTTATTTTATTCATGTCACTGAATAGCTCTGAAAACCTTGAAACTGTAGCTGTTTTTCCTGGGTTATACTCAGTTAGATCTCTAAAGGTAAAATATGTCAGATCCTTTTTGCCTGAGAGCTCCTGAGAAGGAAATCTCTCCTCTGGCATGGTTTGCTTTACAGCTTTCCCACACAGATGAAGCTTTCATCTGATTCCCAACCTCACCACAGTTAATGTCCCTGGGTAATATTTATTTGTAATGAAAATTCCCACAGGTCCTATATTAATGAATAAATATTCCTGTGGAGCTGTTCATCAAAATTTTGAAAATCACAATTATTTGAGACCTAGGTTCAAATGTTGTCAAAATTTCATTGCTGTCAGTTGGTAACTGCTTAAGGTATTAGGAAAGAATAGATTTTTATTTCTTTTAATCTAAGAATAGGTAAAATATATTTTAAAGGATTGAATAAAACAAAATCAGAGCATTTCCTTGAAATTGTTTTCCTTCCTTTTCTCATCCACTCGGTTTTCAAAATTGTTTGGGCCTGGTCCATTGACTTGGAAGGAAATTTGTGCTAATGCCATTAACTTCATTCAGAGGAAATACTATTTTTTTCTCTTTAAAATTTCATAGATAACCATTTTCTTTTTGGTTCAGCCCTATTCAAGCCTCACAGATCTCTCTCAAGAGATGAGATAGCTGTACAAATCAGAGCTCAGACTTTCCAGTTCTTACCCTGCACTTGCCCATCACTAGCATCAGAGAAGAATAGAATGGAGTTGGGTACTGGTTCACTACAATTCTTTACACTGTAGTAATTTCATTTCAGGCAAAGTGACTGCCAAGTATTGGACTTGCTATTGAACAGTTTGCCAAAGTGGTATTTACTGTTTGTTTCTCCTCTGATATTCATTACCAGATGAAAAGTGGGATGACATTATGACTAAAAATATTGATCGACCATAGTTCAGCTGTCATTTGTACACAAAATATGTCTTACAATTCCCCTGTGCTTTCTTGCTCCCTGTCGTTTTAGACATTAATTGGTACCGTAAAGTATGAAGATGTAACCTTTGGTGAGATTTGAAAGATCTCATTTGTGGTGTTAAAATGGTGACAACAACATGCACTGCTATGATCAGTGCAGTGCATCAACTTCCATTCAAGCTGAAGGAACACTTGAATGTTCAAAGCTGGTAGATACATTTCATGAATTGCAGAGAGGGGAAAGTGGGCTGGAAGGAGTGATACTGAGCAGGAAACAGAAACAAGAAATTGGGAGGACATGAGCCCATGTTAGAGGGACAGGAGGGGTGAGGAAAGCAGGAGCAGATGAGCCTTAAGGTTCCTTGTAACCAAAACCATTCCATGGTTGAAATTTGGGAGGTGACTAACAGCTGCAAGAAGACAACTCTGCATGTGAGTAGGTTTGCTGCAGGTTTTTTGGGATGTTTATTGCCAAAAAAAAAAGAGTTTTGCAAGTGACTGGAAAGAAGTCCAGCTCTGGGTGCTCATGTGTATAGAGGGGTGTGTATTCTGCGTCAAAGAATGTAATCGCAAAATAGACCCAGAGCTGAAATTAGGGGTGAACTTTGTGCAGTCAGGAGATTAAGGTGATGATGAAGGAGGGTCCCTGCACTTATCAAAACTGTGTGAACTTGGTACTTCTGCCAAAACAGACCCAGAGCTGAAGCACCCCAAATGTCCTGACCCCTATCCAGGTGAAAATCCTAGAGCTCTTTTGAGTCTGGAAGTACAGCTGGATAAACCAACTTGTTTTTCAAGGTTTCCTTTCTCTGGTAATTATCAGTATTCCTGTCTGAAGATTCATTTTGAAATCTGCATATTGTCGTTCCTTGAAAATCTCATATGCATTACAAGAGGGAAATGTGCCCTTTTTACTTATGCTGGTTCATTAAGGAAATGATTTATTAATTTTGGTCAGAAGATTGTGTAGAACTGTATGAGCCTAAGCTCTCCTGGCCGCTGACTATCAGAGGATAAACACCAACATGAATCCAAAAAATCAATCTCAGTTACTTGTAAACCAGAGAACCAGGTAAAACATAGTTCTGTTGCTTCACTTCAGAGCATACAGGTTTAGCTTGGCTTATGCACAGGGGACTCCTGTGCTTGTTGTCAGGAGATAATTGGGGAGAGCATGGCAGCAGTTGTGCCTCCCAAAGGAGAAATTGCTTAGTAGCCTAGGGAATGGTGGAGGAGACAGCCCAAAGTTCATTCTGGGCTTGTTACTTCTTCATAGGAAGAGAACTTGCTGATTACCAGCCAAGCAAACAACAGCACTTAAGCCGTTAGAATGGGATATTACTTTTAAAGAATCATTCCTGACTGCTGGTTCTGTGTGTGATGCTGCTTTAATGTGGGAAAGGGATAGAAAAAACAGCGAGGAAAAATCAGAAAGCCCTCCAACCTTTATTCATAAATGTGTGCTTAATTTCTCATGAGTATTATTACTGTTCTTGTGTACAGACATCTTTGCATTGTACAGCAGAAACTTCTAGCTCACAAATATAGCTGATTAGGAGATTTCCAATATTTGTAATTCTGAATGAAATGTAGACAACCTTTTCCTTATGTATTTTTTGTCTGTTCCAAATGTGGTAAGCATATGGGCATTATTTAAAAAATCCCCAGAAATAAACTCCAAGCATCTATTGGATCCAGTTATGAATCCAGCCTGTTTTCCTCAGAGGAACACCCATTAACACAAGTCTTTCACATGCAAGGTCTATTTTTAAATAAATGTATTGTTCTGCCCACTTCATGGGATCTGTTTTGCTGAAGATGGATTTTACATCTAATTTTATGTAACTGGTAGAAATTCTGAAGAGCACTCCATCAAAACTAAGGAGATGAATATGTGTACATATTTATGAATCAGCATCTTTAGCTACTAGAGAAATATTTTTTAAAACTTTCTGGCCACTGCACTGTTGGGTAGAAAATATTTTCTGCTATATTAATCTCTCTCTCTCTCTCTCTCTCACCAACAGCTCCACAATGTTAACCTTGCATTGGACTTGCTGGCAGATGGAGGTCTTCTGAATTTCTCTGTGAACTCTGAAGGTGAGTCATGACATGCAAACTTGGAATAGAATTGCTAATATCCTGGCTTAGCAAAAGTTAGGGTAATTGAAGAAAGCAGGTTCTGCAAGTGACACCGACACACTTCATTACAAGGCTCCTCATTCAGAATGAATAGTAATAAGGCTGAGGCTTGTTTTGAACAATCATTATTTCTATACTGAAAAAGTTGGATTGTTATAAGTTTAGCAACTTTACACTAAACTTAAACTGTTTAGTAAGTCAGTATTTGTTAAAGATTTAAACCTGTGACAGCTCCTAGGGAAATTACAGCAGCTGAGCTGGAGGGAAAGCTTGTAAAAAGTTTCAGTGTATTAAAAGCAAGTTTGTTTCATGCAGGAAGATACCTAGCAGAGTATGTCCTGAAAATCAGAAACATTGATCACTGTATTCAAACCCAAAGAGCTGGTGGGTCAGTCTCCTGAATATGGAAGACAAAGGTTTGAAGTTGCTATTATGCCTGGTTCAGATCTGGGAGCTGAATCTTCATCTCCTACGTCCAAGTGAATGCTTTCATCACTGAATCGATGTGCGTGCATGTTCCTCTCTTTTGCCCTACCACAAAGATAAAAGGAAGCTTCATTTGGATGAGACTAATTTTCCAATTCAAAAAATATTGCACAAAATTGTTTTACCAGCTCCTGGTGGGACGAGGGATGAGGTTACATTCATGGGTGGTGCTGTGACTGTGTAGCCTGACCTTGAAGGGCACATAAACTCATCATTCCTCCCCCAGGATCAAAAGGTTGTTGTTGAATAAGGAAGTGAAATCTTTATTAAAAATAGAAAGCATTATCTCCCATCATTCCTCCCTCAAGATCAAAAGCTTGTTGTTGAATAAGGAAGTGAAACCTTTATTAAAAATAGAAAGCATTATCTCTTCCCCTGTTAGTTACTTGGAAGTGAGTGGGCACATTTGTTTGGTACGTAACACAGAGCATCATGGAGAGAGAGAGAGAGAGAGAGAATTTAGTACTTTCTTCTTTTTTTCTTTTATTCTCTTTTTTCCACTAATGCTTTGGTGATGTCAGCACTTGGCATGTCAGGCATTCATGAATTGTGGACTTTTTGCTGCATTCATAGAGCTGGGAGTCTGGAGAGCTATCTGTGTTAGTGTTGAAAGAGTAATCTGCATGAGCTCAGGTCTCCATGCTGAGATCCACCTTTTGTGTGAAAAGAGATAAATCCATGCTTCCTTTCCTTCCCTCTGGCTGTTCTGCATTGCCTCAAACACAGACTTGAGCAGTATAAGAAATACTGGTGCCAACATCTGCAAGTCCTTTGGCTTCACTGGGAAAATCCTCAGCTAGTGAGTGAATTTAGTATGATTTAGGGGTACTTATTACAGCTACACTATTCAGACTGTTCAAGGATCTCATTTACTAGTGTTAGCCTTTCTCCTGGTGATTTGCAGCACTGTGAGAAGAAGAGCAAACCCTCTAAACTGGTTAACCTCTTCCATTGTAATTATTAAACACAAGAGCAGTTTGCTCAGTGTTTAGCCAAGAAACAGAAGCTGAAAACTAAACAAAAAAAAAAAAAAATAAAAAAGTAAGCATCCAGTGGCAGCAAAAAATGATGGAAAAATTAAAACCAAAAAAAAA